CTGCTCTCCTGTAGGAACAAATGAATCCAAATGAGCTCATTTCTACAGCTGCTCACTAAATCCCACTAACAAGACACGGTAGTCTCTTCCACTTCTCAATATTTTTATACTGCTGAATTCATACATGTCTTATTGACATTCACATAAAAATGTGAATTATAATCTGTTTCACAGGTTGCATCAGTCTCTTCACTCCATTAACACAGACACACGAGAAGCTCATCATCAGCAGACATGTCTTCAAAGCAGTTTGTACAAAGAAAGTCAATCTGTCTTTTCTGACCATGTGAATAGACAAAGAAACTAGATTTACATTTTAAAAAATCATAAAACCAACCATTGAACCAACTCTTGAACTTATTTTCAGTTCATTTGTAAGGCAGCTGGAGAACAAACTCAAAATGATTTACAGTCCAGGGTTTTCACAGTCATCAGTCCCTATGAAATGTATGATGCTGAGCTTACAAGTCGGTTAAAAATTTACACGAAAACAGAAAAAATAAAAGACGACACTGTGGGGTCTCTATACTCACAGAGACTCTTATTATAATTCTGCATTTAAAACAACTGATCTGGTTGGTTAGTCCTTATTTGTCGGCTTGAAGTTCCGCTGATAGGCTGAGGCAGTGAATCTCACCGGTTGTCAGTAATTTTGCTACGTTTCCCAGACAGAGCTCTTGTCATTTTGTCAGCCTCCCCGTGGCTAAAGTATGCAGGGACAGCGGGGAGGGCTGTCAAGCTGTACCTGCCTGAGAGCGCCTTTCCCCGGGTTGATGAGTCATATTAAGGGCCGGCCAGGTGGTGGAAATGAGCAGTGTGTGTGTGCGTGTAGCTGTGTGTGTGTGTGTCTTTCTTTATGTCCCAGTGGGGATCTTAACCTGACTGAACATCGACCCATGGGGGACCTCCTGTCACAGACCGCTTTCTGAGGGTGAAGCCTCCGTTTTTATGGTTAGGGTCAGAAAAAGAATTGTGTCAATGGAGTGTCCCCACAGGGATGTAGAAGGGAAGTGTGTGTTTGTGTGAATATTTATAGTGCAACATCATTCTGGTTATCAATTAGCCTACAATACATTTGAACTGTTGTCCCTTGAGAGCTTCTTACTGAGCACAGTTTTTGCAGAGGCGATGCTTTATTTTAATTTTCGATCA